AATGAAAAAGAAAGAATGAAAAAGAGATGATAATCATAAGAACATGATGATCAATAGAACGGTAGATATATATATATATATATCGCAGGAACGAAAAGAAACAAAATACATATATATGAAGTTAGCGTCATGTCGTAACATCAATGGACGCTAACAATACCTATTTGAAGAGAAGTTCTCTCACAAAAAAGGTCTTTCGAATTGAAGCAAAAAATACATTCATATATACTTGTTTATTTATAAAATGACTTAAACGAAAAAATACCTGAAATGAGCGATTAATATATATGATAGTGTGTAAGTTCTGTTGTAGATATCATAGATATGCAAATACACTTATTTGTCAATCAATTCAATGAATATAATAATAAGAATGATAAATTAAGAAAAACGAATTTAAAAAATGAAAAATAATGAGCGAATAGCAGCAATGAAAACAAAAATAGGGTGCCCGTAGAAAAAAATAAAAAAATATTTGTTCGAAATGCAGAAATTGGAGAAGTTTTTACTTCTGATTGTCCTGAAAAACAATTATAATTTATGAGAGATTTTTCATTTTACATTTTTTGTATTAGTTTAATAAGGATAAAGAGAATATGTGAGTTTCACATTTCAGCCCCAACGGAGCTGCACTAACAAGTTTTTTCAATCTAATTGAGTCGTGATCCATATAAAAAAGACATGAATGCTTCGAACGTGTTCGGAACAAGCCAACACTATCAAATCCGTCCTGCATCGGCGACAAACGCGTTTAATAAGCGTTCTCCTTGGCTCAGGTATACACTTTCTTTCGTTGTGTATATAACGAACGAACATTTGGTAGTTGTATCTCTCAGCGCACTACCCTCCTTTCAGTAGAAGTAATTAATTTAAAATATGAGCTACACATAGTGTATACAGACCGAAATATTTGAATTTCTCGATGTTGGTCTATTAGATGCCTACGATACAAAAATTACAACATCGTTTAGTTTTCTTTTTTGACCATGACGGGATGGTGTAAGATATGCTACATAAGAAAAAGCAATATGACGCATATTAAACTCAATTTTACGAAATGTCTTTTTATACGGGTAATATGGCTTTTTCGTGTGTAGCTCGTCTTGCTTCATCCAACCATGACGAGAAAAGGAAAATAAATGTTGCTATACTTTTGTAATGGGGTATATGGTAGACTATATATATGTCTTGGAATTCGAATACCTTGATCTGTATACGCTGTGTATAACTCATATTTTACATTAATTACTTTAGCAGTAAGAGCATTCGTTTGATCTGAATGTGATCAATCTCTTTATGTTACAGTACACGATCTTCCATTGTAAGTTTATTTTTACCTAAAACTCGATTTAGCCTGCGATACACATATGGGTTAAAGTAAGCAAAACAAAATGAACCCAACAGCAGTAAGAACTTGCTTATTTTTTAAATATTTTATTTCATTGAATGCACTTTTATTGTATTCTTACTTCGGTGTAAGAATTAAAACTTTTTTTCACGAAATTGATAATTGAGAAAAATGACAAAAAGTCAAAATGATTGTAATTTTCAACTTGAGTTATATATTTTAACGATTTTAAATCGATTAATTTTTCGAATTTTTTATTAGATTTAATTAAGGGTGAAACAATAGTTCAAGGATGTGGCCGTGGGGAGTGTAGGAGGTTGTCATCTCCACGTTTAGAAAATTTTCACTTTTTCCTAACGAAAATCGTATTTTTTTTATTAAAGAAAAGACCATAAGGTGAAAAATATAGATAAGCACCGCCAACCTTTAAGAAAATTGTGTATATACTTTTTCGGCTTCGCGATATTCTTGTAGTAATTATTTTGATTTATTTGACGTGTTGGATAAAACGAATTACAATATATGTATCTCATTATTCTTTACTTCAACAACTTAGTATTTATAGATTATTAATCTGAGTGTTTTTTTTTTCATGTATTTATCTGCAAGTTACGCTTTCTTCTTTTAACATGTCGAGTGCGAATGCACACGCAACAAAAAATATTTTTCATTATATGACCAATGATAATATTTAAAAGGTGAGCAACTGAAAATAGTATTGAAACAATGAAAAAAATGTATTCTATTTCTTATTCTGTAAAACGTTGATCATGTTGATTATATTTTGTGAGGAAATTTAGATAACGTTCCAATTAGGATGTAGGTGTTGTTCTATTTCTCAACAAGGCATCCACATTTATATCCATACCTACCCTTCTTGTTGCAAATTATTTATTTGTTTTACCTTTTTCACTTTACATGATCTTCATGCAATATGCTTTCTAATTATTAACAATGAGCTAGCTAAACTCTTGTTATACTTATTCTAATGGGAATGCGTGACAATCTCTCTTTTTTATTTTTTTTATCTTTTGCTGAAAAATGCTGTCTTACTTATTTCATAGACGACATCAAGTAAATTTATTGTTAATATCAAACAAAAATAATGTAGAGATGCTTCACTAAAATGGTGATTTTTTTTCAATCTATTGCATTTAAGATTTAATCCTTATTAGATATATTAATGTGGAGATGCATCTTCACTTTTTGTAATACTCGATTTTATATAATAACTTACGTATTGATTATCGTATTTACTATTATATAACTAATGAGAGATATATTATATAACAAAAGTACGCTAACAAAAATACTGTATTGAATAACTTCATAAAAAGCAAATGTTTATCTCGGGTGAAGGATTAAGTGTTAATTTAGAAAACTTTTATTTTTATTTTTATTTTTAGATAATTTATAAAGATAAATCGAAAGGTAAGCATTAATTTAAATAAATGAGGATGCCCAGTCTGACTGGAGATCCTAATTCTTGTTTTCTTACACAGCATCGATGATATATCGAAAAAATATGATCGCTTTATCATAACTCGTAAAGCAATCATATTTTTTCGATATATCATCACCACTGCATGACAACAAAACGAATTGAAACATCCAGCCAGATCAGGCATCCCGAATATTAGTTTTTGTACTATTTGGAGAATAGAGAGGCGGGAGGAGGGGATAAGAAAAGCTTATGTGAAATACACTGACAAACGGCATTGTATAAGATTTTACATGATTGCATATCACCTCGTATACGATCGTTTACCACTGTTTTTGAGTGCGAGATCGACCCACCAAACTCTAGTATGAATAAAAGATGATTGTATAATCAATGCCCTGTATCTAAGAAGAGGAAATCTTATCTAAATGCTGACGGTAGAAGCATAAATAGTAAAGTTTATTAAAAATGTGTTGAGTAAAACGCTCGAAAGAATTTTTAGTGGCATTTTATATCGCACAAGCTATTAGAAAAAAACACACTAAAAAACGATAGAACAGATTTTTTATATTACCGTAGATTAAAGAATATTTTGAATATAAATAAATAATCGATTTCTCAAATGAAAACAAACAAAACGAATTATTTTATAAAAATATTTTTAACTTGAAAACGTTACCAGACATATAGTGGTTTTATGATCAAGTGACGTTCCCTACCTGAGAACACATAAAAATGTGTTTAGTGACAATATTCAGACAAATGTATCGACTTTTTCTTTCGTTTATCCACGTAAAATCTGTCCATCTTGTATCAAAACAAATCTACTTAAATTACGAAAACATTACTTATGTTTTATATCTTATTTTATAAAGAATACACAAAATTACTTGTACTTTATTATCTCACTATTGCTATTCTCGCAATGATCGAAGTTCTATTCTACATGTTCGTGATTATTATCCTGGTCACTATTGCTACTATCTATTTAAAAATCATTCGCCCCGAAAAATATATCTATGATATATTCCGTGCACAAGGAATCAATGGTGAATCATTTGTACCATTGATTGGTCAACTTCTTGAAATGCGTCGATATCGACAAGCTGATACATCTATAGCTTTTTATGAAAGTTTAGCACGAAAACATGGAAATATATTTTTATTTGGTTTTGGTCCATTAACACGTCTTGTCGTTACTGAACCTGATTTACTTGCCGATATATTTAGTCGAACTAATGTACAAAATTATATTAAAACACCCATACTTAGTACTGTCGTTAGTCCAGTTATTGGTAAACAAAATTTATTAGTAGCTGAAGGCAATGAACATGAACGAGCACGACGAATGATTAATCCTGCTTTTTATCATACGAATCTTAAATCCATGATTTCAATCATGACCAATCAAACTGCTAAAACTATTCAAAGACTTTTTCAAACATCAACTTTAGATCAACAAGAACAAGTATTAATTGATCTACAAAATCAATTTAATGCACTTACATTATCTATTATAGCATCAACTGCATTTGGTTCAGGTTTTGAAACAATTACAAATGCTCAAAAGATTATTAATCAAACATTGAGTGAAGTACTTGAAGCTACTCTTTATCGTTTATCACATTTGGTTAGTCAAATACCCTTTATATCAAAACTTCCTTTTTGTAAGAAAAATATTGTTGATAATGGAGGTCGAATAATAGCCGAGTTTGTTGATAAAATAATTGCTGATCGACGACAAGGACATTCAAGTAGTCTCTCTAATGGTCCTGATCTTCTTGATTTACTTCTTTCAGCTGTTGATAATGAAGGAAAACCATTTACTGATCAAGAAATCAGGGAACAAGCTCTTACGTTCGTCGTTGCCGGTAGTGAAACTACAGCTTCTCTTATGACATGGATATTTTATATATTATTCACTCATCGTGATGTCTTTGAAGCTTGTCGAGAGGAAGTCGATAGAGTTTTACCCAATGGTATAGAACCTACAAATGAAAATCTTGCAGAATTAGTCATATGTGAAGGTATAATAAATGAAACACTTCGTCTTTATCCATCGATACCAGCTTTCGCGCGTTGTTGCATACGAGAGCATACCATTGGCAGTGAACGTAAATTACATATACCTGTGGGAGCAACTATAATGATAAATAGCTATATTCTTCAACGTCGAAGTGATTTATGGCCTCGACCAGAAGAGTTTGATTATACACGTTGGATGCGTGATCCTAAAACAGGTTTGAAACCAAAATTACCTCATCCATTTGCTTATCTTCCATTTGCTATGGGCTCACGTAACTGTATTGGACAAAATTTTGCTTTATTGGAAGCAAAAATTATCTTAGCTATGCTTGTCCAACAATGTAATTTTGAAATGGTACCAGGGCAAAAAATAGTACCGGATTTTATAATTACAATGCGAACAAAATATGGTCTCTTAGCAAAAATTAGTAGACGACAAATAAATATGAGCTCATAATCATCCAATGGAATAAACTAGTTTTTTTTATATTATTTTTGATTTATTTTTTCTCTTCATATTAAAAAGAAGTGTTCCATTAACTTTAATGTGAAATTAAAATTTATTTGAAGTCAATGATAGACAGATCAGCGTGTGATAGAAAGGCGAAAAGGAAAAATATTAAAGGAAAAAACTCGAAAGAGAAAAATATCGAAAAAAGTGATGTTTCCAGTAAACGGTAACTCAAAGTACAGCGTACCTCAATTGATTCCCCCCCCCCCCGCGTATGTATTTCTTATTTTATACAGCTTTAGTTGACTCTTTTTCAATAATCAGTACATTGTGAGAAAGCGCACACTTCACTGCATCTTATGGTATATTGAGGGCATGGTTGTGGGCAGTGGCGTAACCAGGATTTTTACACCAATGGGCAAACCTCTCTTGTGTCGAAAAAAAAATGATGGGCCGAAACTTTTTTAATCTAACAAAGTAATAACATAACAAAAATACAAAAATGAGAATGAGGTTATTTTATCAACACAAAAAAAGAAATAAGGTTGGTTTATTTAAAAAAATGACATTTGATGTTTTATCAAATATACATCAAACTCAGATTTTTAGCCTAAGTCAAATGTGTTTTAGTCAAGTTTTAATGTCTTTTTTCGAAGAAAAAGTATAGCTTGTTAACGTATTGGTATTAGGTCGATTTTCATTAGACACAGCGTAGTGTTAGTATATTTTGAAACAGAATAATAAAATGACAAGTGCACAATTGTGTATATGTACACTTGTTCTTTTCTTGTCTTTCTGTTTTTTTTCCTCTTTTCTTGTATTCTATTAGTATGGAAGAAGAAACAAGACGATCAACTGGACAAGCTAGACTATAGTTCATTTTGTCCCATATCAGTACATAAGAAAAGACGAAAGAAAAAAGAAAAGAAAAAAGAAAATTTCAATTGGCAAAAACTTATTTATACAAAATTCAATGTGCAAAGCTCCGAATTTTAATGGGCAATTGCCCATTCGCCAACCCCTAGTTGCGCCATTGGGTGTGAGTCTCCTTTATACAAACAACCATACGCACACCTCCCTTCAGATATTTCAACTTTTTTTTTTGGGGGGGGGGGAGGAATTGATACCCTCTGGCTGCGTCCCTGCCCACACCCACACCCACACCCTTACATAGAAAATCATCTGATTCTAGTTGAAACAATCTTCTCTCGCCTCCCAAGTCGATGATTCCGGCAACTTTCTGCTCTTTGCGAAAGGAACCGGTCGGAAATCATGGAAAATTTCTGATTGGAATACTGCTTCCCTGTTCTAGCGATTTCTGGTTTTCCTGTCCGAACCGACCCGTACTTCTTGACTTGGGCGATAGCACACAATATTCAAAATGTAGAAATGATCTTCTTAAAAATTTAGTAAATTTATATTAATTAAACATATTTAAACTATTGAACTATGATCAACAAAATGTAATTATTTTCGTGAAAGACTTTATTCTAGAAATAAGGTTAAGAAGATATTTGATTGAAAAAATTTTAAAGAGTATTTATCCTAAAACGTAATTTGTTTAAAATATCTTGGGATTAAATTTTTCTAAACCAAGAAGATCATCATTAGAAAAAGTGTTTGTGCATAAGCTAATAATTGTGTATCTTCATCATTTGTTGTTAAAACTTCTTTTAATTTTTATAAATATAATTCATAATCTTGAAATTTTTGATCATCAACAACAACAAAAAAGTGGAAATGAAACAGGAATTGGTACAGGCATAGAACAATCCGTTATTTCTAAAGCTAATGGTAATGATGTAACAAGTCCAACTGGTATTGATAATTAACTAATTGGTGGTGTTTTTTCATCTAATAATGTTTGTATTACACGATTAAATGTAATTGGTGCACATGATATTGCTTTTGAGCTTATTACTAGTTTACATAACATTGATGGTAGTAAATTTTTTAAACGTAATGCTTCACGTTTATTAGATAGTGGATGTTGAACTGATTGACTACTACTACGTGAAACGAATTATTTCACCTTGATTTTCATTTTCTTGATCAATTGTTGAATTATATTCAGTTGATTTTTCTTCACTTGTTTTATATATCATCTGAAATAAAGAGAAAACAAAAATTTTTTTTTCTTAAGAAATTTTCTTCTGACGATTTAATCTTAAAATACAATAAATATAATGAATCATTTCTTTTTCTTGTTTCCATGTTAAAATTAATATAAGAAAACCTAAAACGGTTCCAAAAAGAAAATGTATCAAAGAATTGATAAACCATTTTTCAGTATAATAACAAATAAATAATGAAAAAACTAATATTAATACATAATAATATGAAAATTGAAATGGTTTTGACCATTGAATTGTCCAATCAAAATATTGATTAACATAATATATATTTGTTATTATACGTAATAACATATTTAAACAATTAGCTATTATTATTCCATATATACCTATTTTATTAATTAATATATAAAATATTCCAAAATATATTAGAGCAAATATTGATATTGTATTTTTATAATTTTTTAATTGTTTTATTGACATTGTTGCTTGAGAAAATGCTTCTGTTATACCATTTATTGCAAGAAATAATATATATATACAATATAAACGAAGAAGTGTTGGACCTGAATCTTCAATTAAATTTGAACCACCATAAATATAAAGAAGAGTTGAAGAATATGGAATACCAAATGTTATTACTAATAATGATATTATTGTTACAAAACGAAGTAAATAATTATAAAATGTTAATGCATTGAATTTTATTGTTTTTTGTCCTAAATTTAAATATTATTTTCATTAACAAATAAAATCATTTCGAATAAAAATATTATTTCAAAAATTCTTCTGTCACAAATCAAATCAATTAAGATTCTTACATTTATTTTCAATGCAACTATATATTGATTATCATTTTCTGTCGTTACATCTTTAATGCGTAATGACAACAAAAAATGATCGAAAATAAACATGAAATTCAACATAACGAGAACTAAATAGAAAACAAAAACGATCATGAACTGATTAATTCAATCGATCGAAATTATTTTTATTATCGTTTCTTTTTCTTTGAGTAACTCTTTTTATAGTGATTACGTATAAGAAAAAAAAACGTATCGAAGCAAGATTATCAGATCTGTGCAAAAAGCTGAATATTTGATGTAGAAGACCGAGATATTGATCGACTTATTCACTTGTTTAAAGAGCATCGCTAAATAGTAAAACTTAGACAAGATTTTCCTGTTCACAAATGCGATACTTTCAACTGAATAAATCTTTTGTATTAGTAAAAAGTTCTGTACTATTAAAATAATCGGTGTCTGTGATTAGCCGATGAATTTTTTTAGGTTTTCCATGAAATAGACAAATTTAAAAAGATTCAATCGGAATCTAAAAAATGTTTTTTCATCTCAAGACAAATAAGGTAAAGTGCATGCATTTATCTTTTTCTTTAACATCAGTATAGTTTCGTATAATGATGATTGTCACATTTGAAAATAGTATTGAATATAATCATGACAGAAATACGTTTTTATCCTTCAATTTTCATCGCTATATGAAAATTATTTTAATGATATTATTCAAATATCCTTGTTTTTATTATCAACTATTTGATATTTGATTGATTTTAAATGTCGCATGTAAAAATGCAATAAAAAAAAACAAAAAATCTCGTAAATCTAATTTAATTTATTCATTTCAAAGGAAAAATTCTGATTAAGATCTACCTGATGGTGATGATAATTGTTCCTCTTGCCATTGATCATCTTGAATATGTTCATCTTTAGTTCTTGATAATGTTTGTTGAAAATAAACATAAGCACTTTCTTCTAATGTTGAAAAAATTAAACGTGGTAAAAGTGAACCTAAATTATTAATTATATCAAATATAGCTTGATCTTTATATGAAATAAAATTGAATAAAGAAATTATATATCTTTCGCCTACAGTTAAAAATTTCATCAAAATTCCTTGAGAAAAAAATGTTTTTGTTTCATTTGATAATTTTGGATCAGTATATGGATGTGTTGGTTTTATTATTAAATCTTTAAATGATGATATTATAAATAAACGAATACGTTCTTCAGTTTTACAAGTTATAAAATATATATAATAACTTAATGTTATTGATAACGAATATATTATATAACCAAAGCCATAATAATAAAGTGCACATTCACCATTCTTATATACTAAAATTGCTTGAATTGTAAACCCTATGAAAAGAAAAAGGTTAATGTTCATATTTGCAAACTGAAAATTTCAAAGACGAAACTATGTTTATGAAGAATTAAACAAACTATTTCTCGATCATATCTAATTCATGAATTAGATAAGTTTTCTTTTGGATTTTTGATAATAAGAAAGTTTTATTAGCAATTTATCGTTCATTTAAAATCTCACCAAAGATATATATATATATATATAAATATATTCATTTCTGTTTTCTATACACATTACAACTTTTCAAATGAGTATTCAAAAAACCTCAATGAGGATAAAATCTATACTATTAACAATAAACACATAGTTCAATTAGAAGACAATATGTTACAGATTTTAGTCTTGAATATCATACGCTTTATCATATAATAATAGAACAAGCTATTCTCTCTTACGATTGGCAGAACTAATACCAGTATCAAAATCAAAACATAATAAAACCATTATTCAAATCAATAAATCCATCGCCCAATCCTGTAGGTATTAAGCAGGAATCGGCCAAAAAAATTCCAGCAACTTGGACGAAGACACCCAACAGTTGGATTCGAAGCCCGATAATGAAAATAATCATTGAATTCCTCCCTCAAATTTTCTCGAGTTTTATGCCTGAAATCAACTATATTTCATTAATCTGAGTGAAGCTAATTCTACTGGAGAGCAAACTGAATTAACTACTAAAGATGATCAATTATAGAGACATTGACAGTAATAAGTTCTTTGAATCCGAACAAGATAATCGCATAAATGACTATTATTGTATCAATTTTAGCTTAACATTCCTTCTAATTCTGTCATACGCTTTCAATAGTTTGTGCAACACTGCTATAATCTGACCCTTAACTCAATCAAGAGCAGGAGTTTTAGACACAAACATGCGGGTTAAGTTTGAGTCCGGATATAAAACATAACTTTCTAAATTATATCTGTATTGTTGATCGTTTTAACACGCTGTTGTAACAATCAATTACTAAAAATCTATCGATGCTTTATGGAAAGATTAGATCACTTTTTTGCATCGTTTTCTTACGAATACGGAAGATCAAAATATCTTAAACATTTTCAACCTGATAATAGACAAATTAATATTTTTTCTTGTAAACTAAAATCGTCAATGATTTTGATAAATGAGGAAAAAGTTCTTACCTAGAGTTGAAGCGAACATTTCAATATAAATATTAATATGATAATTAAGTGTAACAGTAGCTAATAAATAAAATGGTTCAGATAAAAGTTCAATGAATGCTGCTAAAGTATAGAAGAAACATGCATGATAATAAAAAGGATATTTTTCTGCATTATCTGTTTGAACAAATAATGTAAATGGTAGTACTAATGATATAATGAATAAACCAACTGGAATAATGAACCATGTTAAATTAATATAATGATGAATTGAATGTAAATCATTTAATCTCGGTACTGTACGACGAAATGCTTCACGAGATAGAAATAATATTGTTGTATAAAGTAATTGAAGTCGAACATTGGCTATGCCAATTATATTAACATCAATTTGACGAAGAATAAGACCATTTAGAAAAAAATGTAGAAAACGAAATAAAATTTTACAAAATAAATTTAAAATTGTTCGAGTTCCAATAGCAGATAAGATATTATTTTCATTTGATAATGACATTTTTTCAAGAGTTAGGGGTCAAACACACTACAGAAGTGAATTAACTTAATTCTGTTTTAAATCAACGCTCGTCCACACTAAACACTTCAATCACCAATGAAAATGCAAGAAACACCTCATCATATATATATATCATATAATAAATATGAAAATATAATACATTGACAGATGTCGTTCTTGTGAGTGCACGATTTTCAATAAGGTTATTAAGTACATTCTCAGAATTATAAAGTCAATTGAAGGAACTCCTATAACGAATTAATCTGATCATTTTCAATGATAACTAGTCAGATTCTATACAGCAGTAGTTGCGCGAGCCTCTTAGAAAATATTTGAAACTAAAAGCAATCATTCAAAATTAACAATTATTTCATCAATACTTTAATGTTAAACAAGGGGAACAGGAGATTTTCTAACAAAAAAACAAAATGATAATTGTTCATAATTTAAAAAAATTCAATTCATTCTATTGCGATCTCACCCTAGTCGACTCTCCCTTAACAAATCTCCAGGAAGTCCCTGCTAAACTTTCTAGAGATTCCCTGTCGGGAATCCCCAGAGAGTTTTGAGGGAGTTTATGGGAAATCCCTGGAGAGAGGGTGTGGGTGAGTTTCAGAGGTGCCAGCCTTTTCTGTCGGCCTGCACCGGCCTGTCAGCCTGCCAGGCCAGGCTAGGCCGAGTTTTTAAATTTTGGCCTGACCTGTTCCAGGCCAGGAAATTCATGACCAGACGGGGCCAGGCCGAATTCTTTGGCCTGATCAATTTTTACATAAAATTTTTGCTTTAGTGCTTTCGAAGGTTAAGTGTCGCTGTNAAATAATCTATCTTTTTCTCTAACGTCAATCTAATTCAGTATAATGATATTTTTTACATTTAAAAAATAGTATTTTAATATTATTTAACTGATATTATTCAAATATTCTTTCTTCTCATTATTAACTATTTGATATTTGATTGAGTTTAAATGTGAAAATCTCTAAAAAATCTACCTGATGGTGACGATGATGATGATGATGATTGTTCCTTTTGATATAGTTCATCTTGTCTTGCATGAGTTAACATTTGATCATCTTGAATATGTTGATCATTAATTGTTTTAGTTCTTGATAATGTTTGTTGAAAATAAGCATAAGCACTTTCTTCTAATGTTGAAAAAATTAAACGTGGTAAAAGTGAACCTAAATTATTAATTGTATCAAATATAGCTTGATCTTTATATGAAACAAGATTAAATAAAGACATTATATATCTTTCGCCTTCAGTTAAAAATTTCATCCAAATTCCTTGACAAAAAAATGTTTTTGTTTCATTTGATAATTTAGAATCAACATATGGATATGTTGGTTTTATCATTAAATCTTTAAATGATGATATTATAAATAAATCTTGACGTTCTTCTTTTTTACAACTTATAAAATAAATAAAATAACTTAATGTTATTAATAATGAATATATTATATAACCAAAACCATAATAATAAAGTGCTAATTCACCATTGTTATATACTAAAATTGCTTGAATTGTAAATCCTAGAAAAAATATTAAAATTTAAATAAATATATTTACAATGAAAATTTCAAAGACTAAACTATGTTTAACAACGATTCAATAAACTATTTCTCAATTATATATCTAATTGAGAAATTAAAAAAATTTTTTTTTCGATTTTCGATAATAAGAAAATTTTATTTTGCAATTTATCGTTCATTTTAAATCTCATCAAATATATATTTATTTATCTTTTCTATAAAAATTACAACTTTTCAAATGAGTATTTAAAAAAAGCTTAATCAAAAACTAATCTATACTATTAATAATAAATACATACTTCAATTACAATATAATATATTACAGATTTCACTCTAAATTCCTTGAATATAATATATGTTTTATTAAATAATAATACAACAAATTATACTCTCTTATCATAGACACAACAAAATATCACTATCAATATTTAGACATTATAAAACGATTATCAAAATAAATAAATTCACCGCCCAATCTCCTAAATATCAAGCAAGAACCTGCCAAAAAAAATTCAAGTAACTTGAATGCAGACACCCAACAATTGGATTCAAACTCCGATAATGAAAACAATCAGTAAAATTCTGCCTTAATTTTTTTCGAGTTTTACGCTTGGAATCGACTGTATATGATTAATCTCCATGAAACCAATTCTACCAGAAAACAAACTCCATTAACTATTAACGATGATCAATTATAGAAACAATAACATATATAACTTCTTACAATCCGAACAAAATAGTTACATAAATTACTGTTTTTGGTTCAATATTTGTTCTACATTTCTACTGATTTTGTCATATGCTTTTAATAGTTTGTAGCACACTAGTATAATCTGACCTTTAAGTCAATGAAAGAGTGCAGTTTCGGAGATAAACATGCTGATTGAGTTCAAGTCCGGTATAAAACATAAGTTATAAAATCATATCTCTATGGCTGATTGTTTTAACATCGATTATTAAAAATCTCTCGATGTTTTATAAAAAGATTCGATTAATTTTTTCATTGTTTTCTTACGAACAAGGAAGATTGAAAAATTTCAAACATTATCAATCCGATACTAAACAAATATAAATTTTATTTTTTAAACTAAAATCGTTAATAATTTTGATAAATGATAAAAAAAAATTCTTACCTACAGTTGAAGCAAACATCTCAATGTAAATATTAATATGATAATTAAGTGTTACAGTAGCTAATAAATAAAATGGTTCAGATAAAAGTTCAATAAATGCAGCTAGAGCATAAAATGAACATGCTTTATAATAAAAAGGATATTCTTCTGCATTATTTGTTTGAATAAATAATGTCCATGGAAGTGTCACTGATATTATAAATAAACCAATTGGAATAATGAACCATGTTAAATTAATATAATGATGAATCGAACGTAAATCATTTAATTTTGGTACTGTACGACGAAATGATTCACGAGATAAAAATAATATTGTTGTATAAAGTAATTGAAGACGTACATTTGCTATGCCAATTATATTTACGTCAATTTGACGAATAATAAGACCATTTAGGATAAAATGTAGAAAACGAAATAAGACTTTACAAAATAAATTTAAAATTGTTCGAGTTCCAATAATAGACAAGATATGTTCGTGTGATGATGACATTTTTTTTATTGTTGAAGAGTTAGTTTTTAAGAATGAACCTCATCCCTGTTTTTTTTTTCAGTCATTGTTTCATTTCTGTTAACAAACTATTGGTTGATTGAAACCAATTAAAGATTTATCTTACCATTCAAATTATCAAATTGACCCAATAAAAAAGTTTTTCTTTTTAAATATAATATATTTAATTTGTTGGAACTTTAAAAAAATTAATTATTTTAATTTTTTTCTTCAAGAATTACACTAATAGTGACATCTTTAACAAGTCAAAGAGAATTTTTTACTTAGAATTAAATTATATTTTATATAAAAAAAAAGAAAAGAATAAAAGATTTTTTTCTAAAAGATTTTTAAAAGAAAATATTAAAAAATATGAATAGTATATTACATTGTTAGATGATTGGTGAAAATGAAATCATCACACAGTGAATATAAGAGTCATCTTGTTTGCTTCGTATATTTTGTTTTGTTTTGTTTTGTTTTTTATAAATATTCATTATTCTGTTTAATTATATTTTAATAAAATTAAAAAAATTCTTTTTTAAATTTTCTAGATAATTGATTTTCTCTGAAGATCCTTAATTTAATAAATAAAAAATGGGTCCACGTAAAGGTCAACAAACTGTTAAACAAGAACAAGTTAGTTTAGGTCCACAACTTGCTGAAGGTGAACTTAACTTTGGTGTTGCTCATATTTATGCAAGTTTTAATGATACTTTTGTTCATGTTACTGATCTTTCAGGAAAGTAAGTTATAAAATTTATTTTATTTATTAATTTATAAAAATAATATATTTATAGAGAAACAATAGCTCGTGTAACAGGTGGAATGAAAGTTAAAGCTGATCGTGATGAAGCATCACCATATGCTGCTATGTTAGCTGCACAAGATGTTGCTGAACGTTGTCGAGGATTAGGCATTACTGCTTTACATGTTCGACTTCGGGCAACTGGGGGAAATAAAACAAAAACACCTGGACCTGGTGCTCAATCAGCTCTTCGGGCTCTTGCCCGATCGGGACTCAAAATTGGAAGAATTGGTTGGAAATTTTTCTTATTTTAATATTTTTTATATAAATTTATTTATTTTAGAGGATGTAACACCTATTCCATCAGATAGTACAAGACGAAAAGGTGGTCGACGTGGTCGTCGTTTATAAACATCAAATTTATTTACAACACACAATTTATTTGTTTACATTTACAGAATGAATGTTTTTTTGTGTGTTTTCTTTTGTTTTAATTCATTCGATTATTCATTTTCCATCTACATGAATAATAATAAATGATAAAACAGTAAACAACAACAACAACAACAACAACAACAGTTAATTGTCTTTTTTTTTTCTTTTAAAAAATGAAAATCAATAATCATCTTTTCGAACATATTCATTTTTAATTATATATTTAAATAGTTAGAAGAAGAAGAAGAAAAAAGTGAAATTTATACATTTCGATTAAGAATAAAAGTTCGATTTCGATAATTATTATTCATATTAAACAATATATTCATTCTATAAATTACACAATTCATTTGAAATATATTTATTTCATCATGAATTTATATTTTTATCTATATTATCATCGTTTATTTGAAATGAAAATAATTTTATTTCTATTATTCGTTCTTTTTATCATTAGTTTTTCAATTATANTTCTTCAGATTCATGTAACCATATTGGATTAATATAGCTCATTTTGTCCTCTTCATTTCTTGTATCAAAACAAAAATGATAACCACCAGGATGGATCTCTGATCGATCAGAGACTATAAATCCTGATTTGAAACCAATACCTTTAATATTATTACAAAAATAAATTAATATTTATTAACGTATTCGATTGCTTCAAACAGATGTCAATCTTTCCATTTTAAGACATATTTTTAATTCAACAGAGTTTGATTTATTATAATATGAGAAGCAGAAGTAGTGTGTCCGCTAATATCCATAGAAATTATTTGAATGTTAACCCTTAAGAGCCACAGTGGCTTCCACTTATAAAAATGAGAATCTAATTAGAAAAACAGAGATTATGGACCCTCAGTATACTCGTACTACAGTTAAAAATAATTACCTTCTTCTTATTCTGGACCTGCGCAACCTCCTTTGGCAGGAATATCCATCCCTGTAAAATCCGAAAAAATAGGAATTTCGATCTGAAACTTTGCCTTTGGATAGTTTTGATAATACTTAATATGATTCGACATTTTCACTTAGAATGGATGCTTTCTTGCTGAGATATTCTAAATCCAAAAATCAGCTAAATTTTGCTAAAAATTGCTAAACACTTCAACATTCTGTATCTCGCGAAAGAAACAACCGTTGTTCCTGAAAATTTTGAAACTTCCTAAACACTACTAGGGCTATGTATGAGCCAAGTTTCATGTTAGAAATACATTGTTTTGATTCTTCTATGAGGCTGAATATCTCACCCAAGGAACATTTTATTGATCACGGCACAATCTGTCAGTAGATCGGTTAAAAGATTCTAGAACGCTGACATTGAATAGCTTGATGATATGCTTAAGAGTGTAATGTAAAATAAACTACACTGTATGCCACATTTCCGAATAGATACAATTTTAAAGAAGAAAGGTGTTATTGAAAACAGTCATCAGTCCTAAAAGGTGTTTTGCTACGCCTGAAAGCCACCTGAATACTACATTTTGGCCTAGATATGGTCTCGAAAATCATATCAATCCAGAAAAATATTGGTTTTTGTCTACAACATTTTTATAAGACTTTGATTACAATTATTTAAATGTCCCTTGGAAGGGACATTCGACTCTTAAGGATTAAATGTGTGTATTATTGAATGAATTGATACTTTCAATTGAAAATAATTCGAAATGTAATTTGTATAAACCATTTTTGTTTATAGAATATGATGAACGAAACTTTCATTGTTGGGCATATCGTTATTATCTTCTTGAACGTCTTTGTCCATCATCATCATCTGAATTAGAAGGATTTTATGAAAATGAATTATCATTTCTTCGTTCAACAATTGGTATTAATTTATCAAATTATTCAGCATGGCATTATCGTTCAAAATATTTAGATAAACTTATTGATCATAATCCATCTCGTCGTACTTCTCTTTTATCAAGTGAATGGCCACTTGTTTTAAATGCTTTTTATACAGATTGTTCGGATCAAGCTGCATGGTTTTATGCTCGATAGTTATTATTTAAACAAATAGGAATTGAATCAATTAATGAAGATGAACATATTAAACCATTAGAAGAACTTGATGATATTGAATCAAATAATAAATGGTGTATGTTAGCTTTATGTCAATTATGGAAAGAAAACAATTATAAAAATGATAAAAGAATTAATTATTTAGAACAATTAGCCAATCAAATTGATCCCGATCGAGCACAATTTTATAAAGATCAAATTTAATTTTTATTTTTTTTTGTTTAATTAATTCAGATTTTTCTATTTTGTTGATTTTGAGAAAAGAAATAGTATCATTATTATGATTATTGGTTAATGTTTATTTATTTCTTATTCTATATTGTTATAATAAACTCTATAAAATAATTTCTATTTTGTTGATTATAAGATAAATATTATTTGTTCGAAACTACAATATGCACTTGAACTTCTATATAGATACAATTTTTCAACTATTTCATCAGGCAAATTTTTGGGAACTATCAATAAAATTAAACGATTTTATTTCATATGACAACTAATGAAAACATTTAAAAGGTCAATAAGTTATATTTTGTAAATTTTATCTTATGTGAAAACTCAATTCAAATACGTGTGTAACACAAGTACGAATAATAAAATGAGATTATTTTTCGTTTGTAAAATTTATTTTGAGATAAAAATTATTTCGAAGAATTTCATCTTTCTACGAGTAGTATGTTATTATTTTCGAAATATTTGGTGTTGAACTGTTAATTTTTTTTTAGTGTGCTTCAACACAATTTATACTCGAAACATAAACAAAATTTTATTAATCGAATATTAAAATAGACTAAAAATTTGAGTATCTTATAAATAGGTCATTGCTAGTTTATTTAATTAATGGTTTTTTATGAATTTTTAGATGAGTAGCGCAAGTAGTGTTGTGAAGATATCAAATATATTTAATGATGATTTATTTTTATGTCGTGCTTTTGCAAAAGCAATTTCATCGGATAAACTTAGTCAAATTATTGAACAACAAACAATTTTAAAAGAACCAACATCTGTTGAATCGAAGTAACTAAAATAAATTTGTTTTTTTTTTCTTATTGAAAATTATTGTTCTATATATTTAAAGTGTTCCATCAAATGATAATGTTAAAATGGTAGATAATTCTTCATTACCATCCGAGGATATTCAATGGAAAATTGGTGATCTATGTTTATGTCCATATAGTGAAGATGGTCTTTTATATAAAGCTACTATNATTGTACACCAGCAGGAGAACAAGCAGCAGGGACACGACATCTAAAATTAAAGAAAACGCTTGTTATTATACATGTTTGGTTTAAAAAGTACATCGGTTGAGATTATATACAGATATATATATATATATATATATATATATATATATAGAGAGAGAGAGAGAGAGAGAGAGCGAGAGACGACAGACTTACTGTTTTTCAAATATGTCTATACATCGTTAAAACAAATGAACAGAAAAGCACTGTAGTCTTCGAAATGATACGTTCAAGAAATACATAAGGTGCTTTGTACCCGATATTACCCGTCCGGAGTATTCTTTCTTTCTTTCTTGACTATTTGTGTTATAATATATGCATGAATTGTAACTACAATTGTTCTTAGACAATGAATCTTGTCGATAAATAAAGAATATATTAACTTCTTTTACATCGTAGACGTTTACATGAAGGTCATTGTTTTGTGTCGACATACTTTCAAGAATGGCAATAGACAGACGCGTCAGATGAACATAGGTAGATAGTATCGAGATGGATCTATTACCATTTTTCGAAAAGTATCTTCTGTAAGTTTTCCTTTCTTCAAAAAGAAGCGTCCAAAAGAACATGATTTTGAAAATATTTGTTTGAGAATTCACCATTTTAATTCGATTAACTTATCATAATAATTAAGAATAATATATTTTTTTAAATTTATTATAATAAATATTCATTTGAAGATCTCTGTTTATTAATATTTTATAAAGTTAAATTATAAATAATTGGAGTTTCAATTATAAATCAAATTCGATGAAAAATAAACATTTTGATTTTCAATCTAAACTATATTTGTTGTTCGAATTAAAAACAATAGATCAAGTATTTCAAAGAACAGTTTAAATTCATTTGTTATATCTCTCTAAGAATTCGTTAATTTTCTTTTCGTATTTATTGTTCCAAACACAATAAAAAGTCTTTACTATTATATCATTCAATCATCTTTTTTTTGCAAGAGATTAATTTTTCTAAGTGTTTCTAAAGTATAAATTCAACAAGTTGATTGAGACAAATGTTTCTCATGTTATCATATTCTAAAGTAAACCCTAGTCGACTCTCACTCGCAAAATTACCGGTGACTCCCCTCAAAAATGCGAACTCCCTGGTGAATCCCCTTTATTTTCCTCAGTGAATCCCGAAAGATAAGAACTCCCCAGGGAGTCCCTAGGAAGTCACCTTGGGAAGGGTGTGGGTGTGGGTGTGGGTGTGGGTGGGTGTGGGTGGGGTGTGGGTGTGGGTGTTATTTAAAGTTATACTCATGCTTCGCCACCCAGGCACACACCCGCACCCACACCCACACCTACACCCACACCTACACCCACACCCACACCCACACCTACACCCACACCCACACCCACACCCACACCCACACCCACACCCTATTTTATGATGGCAAAGTTAGATGGTATACATTTAACAGAAATAGAAAACAGACGGATTATGGTATCACCTGAAATATATTTGCTTAGTTCTCATTCTGCCCAAAAATTAATTAAAATGATAAGATATGGAATGCAAATAACTTTATTCAAGATCTTGTGATACCAAAGATCGATCATGAATGGAAAAGCTAACAGCATCATAAATTATTATGTTATATTGATAAATGAAAACCACTTATAACAAAACTGACAATAAAAAAAATTTCATAAGGCTTGATTTGAATCATGAAATGGATTTTGCTTAATGTAACTTAACTTAGACATATTAAAAAGAAAAATGAAATGATCAAGAGAAAATCTCTCTTGTTCAGTTATTTTGTATTTGATATGAGTCCTAAAATAAACACATATTAGAGTGTAAGGAGCAGGTGTTGTAAGGATATGAGTATGAGTGTGGATAGTTTTGGTTAGATTAATTTACAAGTTCACTCCCAACATCCTCTTTATAAATCTCTGAACAACTTCAAGATAATTTCCATAATAAACAATTTTTGGAAAATAGAGAAATTCGGAAGTATTTTTAAAATTCGAACTTGAGAAAAGGCGTAATATTCAGTACTTTTTTGGAAAAGCAATGTTTAGCAAAACTTCAGGCAAAGTATAAACAGAATTTCATGAATTACTGTAAAACCGCCAGTAAACTTTATTAGATATGGAAATTACAATTTACGTATTCTCCATAAATACCAATATATTTTCCTACTGAGAAAAAACTCTCATCCTCCTAAATAGTTTTAGTGTTGATAACTGTTTAACTAGTTTCAAAAAACAAGTCATGTCTTTTCCTCAGTTAAGTAGAGTAAGACCATGTTTTTGCATATGAAAAAAATTTAGCTGATTTGCCTATGACTGAAGACTTTCATGATTTAATTCGGAAATTTGAAATTAACGTTTGAGAAATTTTCCTAGTTGCTAATTAATATACTTTTTCTTTCTAAAGGATTTCGACAAACATATGGAGTTTCGAAAATTACCTATAAGTAAAATATATCCTTCCCATAGGTTCTTTCGTTGTGTCTAAATTTTTAATAACTTTAAAAACTGACTGTTTTTTGGAAGTTCGAACATACTTCTTTGAAATTCATAAGAATGAAACTAATAGAATATTTTTCTATTGTCAAGCAACTTAAAAGTTGCCATGTTTGAGAATAAAATTTTACTATTTTCATCAACAAATAAAGTCAAGATTCATATATATTAGCATTTGGTAGATTTATTGTTGAGAAAAAAAATTAATCTCATATACTGCGCAAATATTTAAAATAAAATAGTGAATTATATATATAACAAAAAAAAAGGAAAAACATTCGAAACAACCTAATGATTCGAATAGCCTAATAAATCTGTTATTGATCACTACCGCCTCGAAGTCGAAGTACGAGGTGAAGTGTACTTTCTTTTTGAATATTATAATCACTCAATGTGCGACCATCTTCGAGTTGTTTACCGGCGAAGATAAGACGTTGTTGATCAGGTGGGATACCTTCTTTGTCTTGTATTTTTGCTTTTACATTTTCGATTGTGTCACTTGGTTCGACTTCCAACGTAATTGTTTTACCGGTAAGAGTTTTCACAAAAATTTGCATACCACCACGTAATCGAAGTACAAGATGAAGTGTACTTTCTTTTTGAATATTGTAATCACTGAGTGTACGACCATCTTCGAGTTGTTTACCAGCAAAAATAAGACGTTGTTGATCAGGTGGAATGCCTTCTTTGTCTTGTATTTTTGCTTTTACATTTTCGATTGTATCACTTGGTTCAACTTCAAGTGTAATAGTTTTTCCAGTGAGAGTTTTTACAAAGATTTGCATTATTATAATATTGAATAGCAAATAAACTATGAGAAGAAATAACTATATGTTTAGTAAGAATGAATGAAGTAATGTGAAAAAGGTTGTTGTTTTTATACTCTATGTTGTGTGAGAATGACTCATCGCTCGAACGTTCGAGACGAAGACAGAAGATTTCAGATATATTATTGATGACTCATAATTACCAATGACAAATATAAGAGAAGGGAAAAGAGTTGAGTGTAACTGGCTGCAGTTTGGAGAAGTGACTCATCCTCATGAATAACCAATGATACATTGCAGAAGGCGCTGGAAATTTCATACGTTCTCATAAACTTTGAATTTTATCATCAGAAGTAATATTTTATTTGCACTTTATGTTTGTTTTTGGTGAAATTAATGAAATTTGGAAGTAATATTATATAAATATTTATGGCAACAAAATGATAGTGATGAGAAACTAGTTTTCCTTTTTTTTTCTCTTCACATGTATCCTCATTATCACGTATATTGATACATTTATCTATGCTAAATGCTAACAAAGATTGAGTTCAAATACAGTACAAAACCATATGATTTCATTGACTAACATTCAGATAACTTTTTAGCTTTGCTAAAATTATAAAAGCTAATATAATTCTGATGAATTATTTTCTTCTAACGGTAAACTTCCTTTTTCCATGACCAAATATATCTTTCAACATGAACTCTTGAAAGTAACTGTCTGAATAAATACTAATGTCAGATTATGCTCAAAATTACTTAGAGATAAATGATGATCTGAAGAATCATTAAACAAAACATAAACAACTCTACCAAATGATCCATCAATAAAGAATTTTCTATCGACAATTATCTTTTATCATTTCAGTGTTATTAAAGGTTACAAAAATAGAAGAATCATTTCCATATGAATAATTATACTAAGATACAAACACATAGTATGTCATATTTTATTTAACATATCGAGACTTCATCATGCTTTACATATCAACCGATTGAAAAATTAGAAACAGTGGAAATTTCAAACTCAAATACGGTCTTGATAGATATATAATAAATGTAAGAGTTCATAAGTCGTTATTTTAGTATTTCGATTCCACCAAAGCAGTAAAACTCTATTTAAAAATCAACAGTTAGATTACTAAAATTCAACTAATACTATCAAAAGATGTGGAAGAAAGGGGATACTGTAATAAAGAGCCAAACCATTAACGTGGTCAAAAACAAAATACTTTTATTTTTTAATCCAAGATTTAATTCAGTACTAAGAATACAAATGATCTTCAATACAAAGAAATATGTATACATAGTCTTCAAATTCTTCATATGGACAAGATTTTGAATCCATTAGAAGAGAAGATTCAACTTAGTCTTTTCTGCTTCAAACAATACTAAAATATGACATGAATTAAATAGTAGTTAGATCAATCTATTAGCAATTGGATCTACTTTTCATTACTATAAATGTCCATGAGAGAAAAACTTGCTAGAATCGAAACCCAACTAATGTAGACGACACTGTGAGTGATCGTTAAATATACGTATTGTTAAAAACATACTCATAGATTTATAATACATATTAAATGAGACGAAAAAAGATAGCTTCGACACTGTTTACATATAATACATGAATAGATTTCATATGATGTACATGCATGCTTTTCTGATTTTTTTCTCTTGAAAACACTTCCTTTTACGTATATGTTTATTAATTGTGATGAATATAATATTAATGGTGGAAATATGCATAAATAAATAATATGCTTTATTCATTCGTTTCCGAAGCACAATTCGCAGAAAAGAAAACGATAAAATCTCTCTATGAATTACAAAGCAGTAATTCTTTCATAGATCACAAAAACAGAAACATGATGATTATTTTGAACAATAGCTAAGTCCACCTATGATAAATGTGTATAGTCAAGGAATGAAAATTGATTGAGTTTTATTGCTTGATAGAAATATTGACATGAAGCATGATTAAAACCTTTTAATTCTTCTACCAACTTTTCAATTTTAGTCCGGCAGAATGACATAGGATTTGTCTATGGCATGGAACCTGGTAATTCTCGAACACAATGGTGCAAAAGAGATTTGTAGTACGAATAGTATACTCTTACATCACGATCATGTGGTATTTTGTCAAATAAGTGTCCAACAGCCAACTGATAAGTATCAAAATCAAATATCAGTCGCGTCTTAAACTTCATTTATATGTGAATCAGATAGTGAACAATCACAAAGAACTCCTTCCATAACGTGATCCTTTGCAGGGAGCATTTGACCTAGAATTTTGCTAGAATTTTGCTCTGTCTGTTCCAATAGTTGTTTAAGATAACGGATTGTATCACTCATTGAGTATATTGTCGAATCTGGTTTGTAAAAATCTGACTCCCAACAACTCTAAGTTTCATAGAGATCAACAAGGGCACCTTGTTTACCACAAAAAGCATATTTTCGTTGAAATTAGAGAAATTCGAAGCTATCGATTTGATGATCTAGTCTATATCCAAGCCTCGTCCAGGTTCATTCTTTTGTTTTCGGATTCAGAAATCACTTTTATCTTAAATTGAAAAAGTGAAACAAGGTCGTGTCCAATAAATTGTGATTGATGACAATTTTTCATGTAAGTACAATTAATGCTGTAATCCAAATCGATCATTGGCTATCTTTTCCTTTCGACTTTATTTTACCCCTCGATAGAGCGAACCATAATGATTTCAGTAATAAAATATATTGAACAGATTTCTTTTCATTCCCACTTCACATATTTCATTAGTATTTCAATCATAATGAACAGTATAGGTTGTCATGTTTTTGCCTTGTTTTAGCAGAAAAAAAAACAGAAACAGCTGCAACACGACAAGATTGATTCATATGTTGTTGGAAAAAATTTGAATTTGAGAATCGAAATAATATTCGACTATTATATTGAGAGTATCAAATGTTGGAATAAATTTTGGTCTAGATGCACCTTGTTCAAATGTTTTCAGTTCTTGAGCTTCTTAAACAATTCCTTGGAACTGAAAGACGTCAAGAAAAGAAAATATTAAATATTGAATGTCTTTTTTAATCTAAATATTTGAATATTATGAGGCAAATTTCGGTTGGTAATTGTTCGAAAGGGAATTTTGTTCGTCTGATTCCATCGTTAATTCTCTTCAATTTAATTCAAGTAAGCGCGCATTGCAATACCGAATAGATTATGAACGTTCATATAATTCTCCAATCCCAGGTTGTATATTAATTTATGTGAACATTCACATACAGTAAAACCTCCATTAGTGAACACCTCTACATAATGAACACTTCCTGTTTGAACGTATATCTTGCGCCGCCCCCCCCCCCCCCCCCCCCCCCCCCGCCCCTTGTCCTTATAAATCCAAAAAACCCCCACACACCCCNTGTGAAGTGGGAATGAAAAGAAATCTGTTCAATATATTTTATTACTGAAATCATTATGGTTCGCTCTATCGAGGGGTAAAATAAAGTCGAAAGGGAATTTTGTTGTAAATAGACCTCTACATAATGAACACCTCCCAACTCTGAATATGAACACAATTTTTTGGTCCCTTCACCAAAGATAACCTCTATATAGTGAACACATGTGAAACAGAGTATACGTGCGAACACGAAACAAAGAGAGAAAAATAGAGCACAGCGCACGTTGTGAAGTCATACTGTACCAATTCATCGACGGTCTATTTATTAAAAGAAAAATCATTATGTATATAGGACAAAAGAACAATGAAAATGAATAGTGGATAATGAGTTGATCGGTCGCATATAAACAGGGGCGTAGGTCATGTGCCAGAGCAGGGGGGCGTAATCCTACTTTTTCTGTTTCGACGACCAAAAAAATGAACTTTGCAGAAGCAGGGGGCGTAACTTTTTTTTCCTATTTTGATGAGCAAAAAAAAAGAGATTTTCAAAAGCGGGGAGGGGCGTAACGCCCCACGCGCCTTCCCCTATTTACGCTCCTGCATATAAAAGGATGACACACTTTTCCATTTACAGTTGTAAAATGACGACAAGATATACATTGACTCTCTCAGAAAAGATATAATTAATTCATGAAAATGAACAGAAATCTTCATACTGTACACTTGCCGACAAGTATAATGTCTCGATGGGCAGTGTATCAAACATCCTTAAGTGCAAGGCTCAGTACGTAGAAGATTATGAACAAAATGAAAATTCCAACAAGAAGCGCAATTCACATGATAAATTTAGCCAGCAACTCGATCAAAAAGTTTATAAATGGTTCGTAACACAGCGTAGTAAGAACATACTAATATCAGTCCCTCTACTACAAGAATGAGCTCGTGAAAAATGAATATTTATGTGTAATAGACGAAAGAAATTTTTTTTTCTTTGTTTCATAAAAACTGAATAGATGTGTACTAGTTGACAGAAACACATTTTTTCACTTTGCGCTAACTGGAACATATTCTAACAAAAGATATGAGTAGTTATGAGGCGGGCGTATTAATTATGCATGTGTACATCCAAGAGATCAGTTAACGCAAAACCTCTACATAATGAACACCTCCTTTAGTGAACACTTTTTGGTAGGTCCCGTTGGTGTTCACTATAGGGAGGTTTTACTGTATCTCCAATTCATTTTTTATGTTTCATCAAAAAAAAAACAGAATATAAACATTCATAATCATTATTCTCTGCCTCCAAAGTTTTTTGAAAATCTCAAGAGTTTTTCTTTTCACTAAACAAACATATCCGTTCTTAGTACTATACACTTCTTGATATCGTTAGAATTGCTTATTTCTGATGCTATAGCTTAATTTAAAAGGTTATATGTAAATAGAACAGCGCGAACCTTTTTGGATGTTATTATAATACATTCATAATCATGATCTAGATCATCATAATATTTGGTTTCTTCCTTAATTGTTAGTCCTTTTAACAGAAGATTTAGGCGATTGTTTTGGAAAATACAATTTCGTTTCGCCTTTCTGAAAGTCATCATCCAAGTAAATAACTGAAGTTAATAATAGTGT